CGTTTGAGAATGTATCAAGTCCACTGTCAGATGCTGGGAATCATGACAACTACTATCGCAGACGACTTCGACCTAGGTGTGTTCTACTAAGTCGCCCTGACAACAAGACCAAGTTGCGACAACGAGGTCAACCCACTTCCATAGTTGTAGAGTTTTCCTGATACTTTAGCTTGAATATGATTGTAAGGATGATACTCTGCTCTGATGATGTTCGTCATAAGACAAACGAAAGTTTAGAACGTTTTCACTGGAATCGAAAAGAATGAACAAGTATCTTCCAGTAGCAGGTCAAAAAGAAATCCACTGTGGTCTTTTGATCAAATTGACAATCAAATATCTTCATCAACAGACTTTCATTAAAAATTGAAGCGAGTCCAACAATTATGAAACAAGAGACCCATCGAATCCTAATTGCGTTGTGAAAACTTTCATTTTGTCTGGAAGTAGAAGGACTGAACTTTTGTTGATCATGTGACGAACATTGTCATAGCTGGGACTCACTCTTGCAAAAGCCTCAAGTTTACACAAATTCAAGAAAACGAAACGTTGGAGGATGTCTTGTGGACTGCATCAACCTGAACGTCGTATTAAGGCCAAATTACGGAAGTACAACGCGAATCAGCCGACATTTTCTAGTGAGATTGACCTACGAATCGCTTCATCATGTACTTCCATTCGTAATGAAAATCTTCATATCAATCTTATTTCAAAAGATTCTTCGAAACTCGCATTTTCTTCGTATAAATTCAACCTAATTGGAGTCGTATGTCCTTCCTTTTATTCCACTGTAGCAACTCAAACTTCAGCCAGTTCAGTCCGTTATGCGGGTGAAAGTATCTCCTAGCTTGAATGAATTCTGCTGCCTCTAATGAGGGGCTGGCTGCTGTTAAGACATGCTGACTAGTTGAAATTATGTAGATTTTATAAGAGAAGTAGTTGTAAATCTACTTAAGATTTCCCTAATTCACATGGAAATGGTGAGTGTGAAAAGGTACTCTTGGTCGGCATTGGGAAGCGCAAGAGCAGAAAACGTCAAGGACGCCTGGTCACAGGTTCACTTGCCTCAACGAATGGCAGGCCGTATGGGAGGTGGAAGACTGGGATTCATACCTTCCCAAGCCCCGAGTGGAATCGCCCACCACCTCACTGGCTACTGCCCAAAGAAAGCCATCAGATTGGGCAAGAGCCCGGATAAGTCTGCCATGTCGGTCATGTCGGCCATTCCGGCCGCGTCAGTTGTGCTGGTCGTAGCTGGGGCCATTGGGGAGTGGTGCCAAGGCAGACTACTCGGTAGGGAAGCCAGGTCGGGAGGGGCGAGGCCATAGCATTCCAGCAATTCCGCTCTGTCTGTGGGACTAGCAGACCCGGCAGACGGGCCAGGTGGGGGCTTACTCATTGCACACCATGTGACTCATACATACTGTCCGGGCCATGTGCCCATACAATCATGTGAACAAAAGCCCTGACTTATGGTACCTCACAGACAGCCTATTCGATGAAACCTTCACACTCCACATCAAATGAAGCCCTCCTACGGGTTGGCTGGTCGGCTGGTTGGCTGGCCAGACCTGGGCCGATTGGGTGACCGGGCGACAGAAACCAAGTGACGCCGACCGGCTTGTTCACACTTGCCCGAGCTACAGACGAGATGAGTAGAGGCGACAGGACTTGCCGTCTCTTGCCTCATTGGACTGGGCTGGTCGGCTGAACCGGCGGTCACCGAGACACGAGGCCGGCTGGGCAGAATCACTCGGGCTGAGGGTATCGGACGCGGCTGTACCAGTCGGCCGGGACGATGGGACCTACGACGCGAGACTGATCTCGCAAGCCTCGATGCGCAGACGAGAAATGTGTAATAAGATCGTTGGCAAAGACTCTGGAACGTTTGATGCAATTGAGCGAGAGGCCGTCTGGTGTTGCGAGGTCTTCAAGATGTCATTCGATTGATGGTCCGAAGATGAAACGGTATGCGAGTAGAAATGTATGAAATGCAATCAACCCGTTTTCGAAAGGTTGCTGGCCTTATCGTGTGC